CACCTCAGCAAGTTAGGCTCCTCCTCCTGCTAATTTCTGGGCCCTCCCCTGGATCAATACCTCCCGGCCCATCTAACCTCTCTCGTTACCAGCAAGTGCCGTAAATGCTCAAACTTCAGGGCGGAAAGTGACGGACGCAGTGATAGCAAAAGTAGATGTAAAACAGGCAAGTTGTGTGTGGGGGGACTGGCCAGCGTGTGCACACACACACTCCTGACTTCCAGAGCGTGACAGCCAATCAGGAACGTTTGTTAGCGAGTCGGCAACCCTCCTCCGGATGGGGATGCCGGCTGGGCCTAAGGTACATCAGGTTATCATCAAGGCGGCACCATTGTGGGTCAGTAAGGGTACTTTACCTCCAAATCAAAGCTGAGGATTTTGGTGGACACGCTGTATATGTATACACCGAGGAGTAGGCCACACCTTGCGGTGGGTGTGTCGTGAGGTGGCGTCCCGTCGGGCGTGCACAGCCATTTTCCTCTTGGTCTGGTCCCTGTGGCCCCTGGACGAAAGGGCAGGATGGGGAACTTGAACCTTACCGGTTATTCACGGCCCTGAGAGGGAGTAGTGAGGACGGGCCCTGAGGGATGGGGGACCGAAAGGCGAAGTTAGTGGGAAGATCCTGAGGGGGGGAAATATGTTAAGCAGACCACACACTAGAAAGTGAAGGGACGACGACCTTTCGGTCCGTCCTGGACCATTCTCAAGTCGATTGTGGTATTTCTGCCCCGTTATTGTGACTCCTCGTCTGCACCCTGAGGGGGGGGGTTAGTGAGGGGGACCCCGAGGGGGGTTGGGGGGGGAGGCCTTCTAGGCATAGTGAATCTGACGCCCCCCCCCCTCCCAACAACATGGAAGGGGGGGGGGCAGTTGGCAACAGGGATGAGTGGCGTGTGTGTGTCAGTCAGGTCAAGCACCGTTTGGTCTGGCCAGTAACTGGATGGGTGACAGGATGGGCAGCCTCGTCATCCAACCTTTCCTCTTAACAACATGTCGCATTTCGACGTATACTCTCCCTAAGGCCAAAAACTGTCGTACAGGAAAATGTTGGCCGCTCGCGAAATTGACACAATGTTCCGTTTTTAGTTGGTGGGTCCCCTGGTAGGTTAGGATAAGGGCACTTTACTAGAAGTTTCATGACGTTAGGAGCGCTGGCGAGAACGGGCTGCGTCATTGGCTGATGGGAGATTTCATTAGGCCTAGGATAAGAGGCTTAACAATATATATGCGTAGAAATGTAGGTATTACGATGGGCCCATTGGAATTGTCCCCGGTCTCTTGAAGTGTAAATATTAATATATTTTCCACACTATACAGTACTTGTATTTGGGAGAGGAAATGTGTTACGTCGTCTTGGCCCAGGAGGAAGATTACAGGGCCACGATGCATCAAGCATTTTGCGCAACCGCTTACGAAATCTGTACATCTTTCCTCAATCATGGCGGCTTTGTTTGCCTCTATCATACGGTATACGAGCTTGGAAATGACACAAACCCGAGGTTATTATTCATATACACAACCTCGTAGTGCCTCGGAGCTCATAAACATAAAATAAATGTAAGCAAAGCCGCCATGATTGAAGAAAGATGCACAGGTTTCGTAAGCGGTTGCGTAAGTGCCTGATAAAATTCTGGCCTAGCATACCCACCAGTCCAAATGGGACGTATTACTACAAACTAAAGCAACTTAATATTGACATTTCCTGTGCAGCGGCCTCGGTAGTAAAGGCGGGTTGCTTGGTGACGGGTGTTAGGCAAAACGCATTTTTATTCGGAGTAGCGAGGCTCCAGCACCCGTGTAGCGGAGGTCCGGCGTCTCGCTGAGGGAGATGGTGGACCTTCACTGAGGTTCGTGGGGTGAGGGAGAGTGAGGTTGTCTCCATATACAAGTTTTGTAAGTGCTGGCCATCAAATTACATTCCAACATTGCCATAACCTCTGTAAACACAGGACATCACCTCTGTAATCGTTAGTTTAGGTGTTGCTGTGGCGGTACGAATTTTCATGCGTCGTTAAAAAAAATGGGGAGTGGGGGGACGTTAGTGAAGTAACTATGACGTAATCACCTCTCGTCTGTCTGTCTGCCACTCTGCCCCACCACACCGCCTGTCTGCCACACTCCCCCCACCACACCACCTGTCTGCCACACTGCCCCACCACACCGCCTGTCTGCCACACTCTGCCCCACCACACCTCTCTGTCTGCCACACTGCCCCACCACACCGCCTGTCTGCCACACTCTGCCCCACCACACTATCTGTCTGCCCACTGCCCCACCACACCGCCTGTCTGCCACACTCTGCCCCACCACACCTATCTGTCTGCTACACTGCCCCCACCACACCGCCTGTCTGCCACACTCCCCCACCACACCACCTGTCTGCCACACTCCCCACCACACCACCTGTCTGCCACACTCTGCCCCACCACACCTATCTGTCTGCCACACTGCCCCACCACACCGCCTGTCTGCCACACTCTGCCCCACCACACCTATCTGTCTGCCACACTGCCCCACCACACCGCCTGTCTGCCACACTCCCCCACCATACCGCCTGTCTGCCACACACTGCCCCACCACACCGCCTGTCTGCCACACTCTGCCCCACCACACCTGTCTGTCTGCCACACTCTGCCCCACCACACCTGTCTGTCTGCTACACTCTGCCCCACCACACCTGTCTGTCTGCTACACTCTGCCCCACCACACCTGTCTGTCTGCCACACTCTGCCCCACCACACCTGTCTGTCTGCTACACTCTGCCCCACCACACCTGTCTGTCTGCCACACTGCCCCACCACACCTGTCTGTCTGCCACACTCTGCCCCACCACACCTGTCTGTCTGCCACACTCTGCCCCACCACACCTGTCTGTCTGCCACACTCTGCCCCACCACACCTGTCTGTCTGCCACACTCTGCCCCACCACACCTGTCTGTCTGCCACACTCTGCCCCACCACACCTTCCCTGACATCGTCCCTATCACGTGTCATAAGTACTCATACACCGCCTAATAAAGACACAAATGAGAAGCGAGCAACACTTAGTGGGCCAGCAAGAGTCTTCGGGCCCGCGCAGCAATATCCCTGAAACAAAAACCATTCCTCCCTGCCTATTATTCCTTCCTTACTGACCACACCTGCTTAAGCAGCAGCATCTATGCTGCTGCATCTTAAGCAGCAGCATATATGCAGTAAAAGGGGGAGAGGAGGAGGAGGATAAAAGGAAGAGAAGGCATGGGGAGGTGTAATGAGAAAGGAAGCCAGGGATTATGTATGGGGAACGGCGATTGGTTGGCTGGAGGGACGGGGAGCCCGGGTAAAACCGTGGTGCTGCGCGGTGATTGGCCGGTGTGGTGGCGTAACATGGCGAAACACGCCGGCCTCCACCACGGTCTACGGGGCCCACGCTCTCTTATGTATTTACTAATACATAAAAATAACTGAAAGATATCCATGTTTATTTTATTTTTTTTAGTGGGGGAAGGGGGCCAGGGGGTTGGTTGAGGATTTTGAGGCGTTTCCAAGGTGGTGGTGTCGGTGAGGGAGGAATTATTTGCGTGCCCCTTATGGGCAGTATGGAGGACTTCGGAGGTACAGTGGGCCACGCCCTTTCCTATTTACTCAGCCACCTCATCCACTCTAACCTTCTCTAGCCAGCAGTTGAGAAGCGGATGATGATAGTTAATCATTGAAGACTGTCTGATAAGGAATTGGGACACTAAAGCCCCGAAATCATCTCAAGATAACCTCAAGATGACCAGGGTGTGTGTGCAGAGGTTATCTTGAGATGATTTCGGGTTTTTTTTTTTAGTGTCCCCGCGGCCCGGTCCTCGACCAGGCCTCCACTCCCAGGAAGCAGCCCGTGACAGCTGACTAACACCCAGGTACCTATTTTACTGCTAGGTAACAGGGGCATAGGGTGAAAGAAACTCTGCCCATTGTTTCTCGCCGGCTCCTGGGATCGAACCACACGATCACAGGACCAGCGTGCTGTCCGCTCGGCCGACCGGCTCCCTTGCTTGAAGCGCTTCAAGCAGAGCTTGAAGGAGGCACGGGTGTAAGCTTGGCTCTTCACCCCATCCTCCTAAGGTCTCCCAACGTCAAGAAACTATCGTACTAAAGTGCCCTTATCCTAGCCTACCAGAGGACCCAAAACAGAAAACGGTATAGTGTCACTTCGCGAGCCGCTACCATTTTCTAGTACGACGATTTTTGGCCGTCAGGTAGAGTATACGTTAAAATACGTCGTTCTATTAGGAGGCCGTGATCCTAGCAGTCGTTGTTACATCCGGGATTCATCAAGTATTTACGTATCCACAAACGAAACCTGTACATCTTTTTTCGATCATAGCAGCTTTACTTATATTAAACGGATTGTGAGCTCCGAAGCACTACATTATCTATAACAATAACAGCATGAGGTTGTGACTCTTCGAAGATCATAAACTGTTCAATAAATGTCAACAAAGCCACTATGATCAGGGTAAAGATGTACGGGTTCCGTAAGTGGACACGTAAATGCTTGACGAAGGCTGGCTTTGAGGACCTGCCTTGAGGTGTGTTGTCTTGCGACGCCTTTGGCACGTATTATAGCCACACAAAACGTATAGTGATGTCATCCTCCTTCCTGTCCTCTTCCCGTTCTCATTCGTTCTTTTACCTCTGGGCCTCCGCGTCCCCATTCTCTCTTACCCATTTTGTCCTTGTCCTTCAGAGGGGGGGGAAGGTTGGACTGAATGGGAAAGGGGGAGGAGAGTCAGTGAATAAGAATGGGGGGGGAGTGTATGTGAAAGTGAGAAATGGGAGGGGGGTAAAAGTGAGGGAAATTAATACTTCGAGACAGGGTGAGGGAGTGTGGGTGATGGAGCTGTGTGTGTGTGTGTGTGTGTGTGTGTGTGTGTGTGTGTGTGTGTGTGTGTGTGTGTGTGTGTGTGTGTGTGTGTGTGTGTGTGTGTGTGTGTGTGTGTGGAGGGAGTGTGGGTGATGGAGCTGTGTGTGTGTGTGTGGAGGGAGTACCATAACAACCCTAACCTAACCTCCAGCAGCAGGGTTGAGTCACATCCAGGGCGGCGGAAATTATCCTCATTCATTTATCAAGTCACTTTTTTTTATATTTTTCTCGTACTATTTTTTAACGTTATGAATTGTTCATTGAAGATCGTCGATGAACCAATTCGCACGCATTGAAACATCACAGGAATGAGTTCCGCCTCGAACTAATTTGAAATTGGAGCATTATTCGTTTGGCGAAGACTCTGAGAAGGAGAGGGACGGTCCCCGAGTGGAGGGTCTTACTCACATCCTCGGGCTTGTAGCGTGGTATTCATTTTAGCCCCTCGAGGTAAACTACCCGGCAAAATGTGCGTGTCCGGCTTGTTGCTGCTTATACGTAATACCCGCTATAAAAGACGCGAGGGGTGGGGTTTTAGTCACATGGAGCAGAGCCTTCGTGAAGTCCAGTCGTCCCAGACTTTGTCAAGCACCTCGCAAACATTCAAGATGTTTTCTGTAGGTCAGGAAGCCTTTAAGAAAGTACAGACGACCAATTTGTCGAGTGGAGGATACTTGACGTGCTACCCGACCTGCGACAATATTTTAGATGATTTTGATGTGTCCATGTTGGAGTGTGAATGCAGTGGACCGCCTGTCAACGGTGGAGACTGCTCGCCACACATGGGCTACTCTCAGGCGGTCAACAGTTCATATGCAGGAACCAGTTATCCCGCCACTGCCAGTCGTGACTGGAGTAGCTACGAAAACGACTCTCTGACCGGAGACACCATACACGACTCTCAGCTGTGGGACTCCGACAGCACTTACCCGCCGCAGGTTACTACTGCAGCAGAAAGTTGGTCTGCTGCTGGTCCAGACCCGTCTAGGTATCCAAGTCTGTCTCAGACTGCTGGACAGACTGGACGCAAGCTGAAGGTATACGAATGGCCTCCACAAAGTGACCCGGAGCTGGAGAAAAAGAGACGCAGGGCAATAAAGGCATTGAGGAACCGTATGAGAGGCATTCAGTTGGAGGAGCAGCAACACGCTAAGTTGGATGCCATCACTCGAGATGTGTCGAGGCTCAAGGAGGAGCAGCGCACCAAACAGCAGACCGTAGCAACCCTGCAGGCCTACCTCAACCAGCTCTCTCTCTCATCCTCTGAATGCACTGGTAGGTGTTGCTATCTCTATATATTGAATGTAATATATTTATTATATAGATTGAAATATGATTGAAATGTTCAATCATTTGACCCATATCAAAGTGTCCCGGTGGTACAGTCGGGTTTGATCTCGACACACAGTCGAGATTTCCGAATTTGAATCCTGAGCGGGACAGAAATGGTTAGGCACATATCCTTTAACCTAACGCCTCTGTTCACCTAGCAGTAATTAGGTACCCAGGAGTTAGTCAGCTTGTTGTGGGGTTGCATCCTAGGCGGGGTCAGTCATTCGACCCTGGGGGGGGGAGGCCTCGATAACAGCCAAATGTGTCTGAATACAATCGATCTCAATCGACTTGCAAATTGGTCCAGGACGGACTGAAACGTCGTCGTCCCTTCACCTTCTAGTGTGTGTGGTCTGGTCAACATACTTCAGCCACGTTATTGTGACTCATCGCCTGCGTGTCTGAATACACTCTGGCTGCCTGTCCCTCGACACAATGAATTATTATTATTACCTCATGTATTCCCCTTGTGTAAGTCTACATTTTCCTTTTATCACTGTACAGGTGGTGGTTGGTGACGCAGTTTTCTCCCTGTTGCGGATCACTGTTGACCAACAGCACTCTCAACACTGCTGACAGCGTCTGTAGGCTGTCTTACCCTCGGCCTGGGTCACTCGACCTGATACTGCCGGAGGAGACCCGTGTCCTGCCCTTGGTGTGGGGTAAATGACCCTTCGAGCCAGAGTGGAGCATTTGTACAAGCTCCGTTGAATCATGTTCGGATGTGAAGAGTTGGAAAGCGAGTCATAATCCCCAGCTCGTGATGAGTCTGACATACGCTAAGCCTCGGGACCGATGGCGGAGAAGAACGCAGTTTATTTCTCAGATATTTACGCGTAATATAGATTAAGACGTGTTTGATATTGTGTGTATGTGTTTATAAATAGCTTGCTCATATTTGTATTGTTTATCTCTCAATTGACTTGAAGGTTTCTCCCAGCCCTCGGGTCTCCATCTTCTCCTTCAGGAATATGACATCAGAACAATTGTTTCCCCCTTGATTGAATTAAATGTTGAAATGTATTCGGTCGTTCTCGTTTCACATTGACCGTCTGGGTGGCCGCTTACAACATATAATCCAAGTACCTGAACAGTTTAGTAGTCACCATAACTACCCATCACAAGCGCCCGGGATATCTGGGCGCTTTCATCTAAACATATTAAGCAACAGAATGGGAATCAAGGTCACATCCTAATTCGCTGCCATTTGTATAATGTAAAATTGCCTAATTTAGCTTTAAACATGAAAATGTTTAAGAAACTCGTCGAAAAAAAAATACGGTCTGTGGGATATTTCCTCATCAAATATACAAACTCTTTAAATTATAACAGCCATAAGATGATGATTTACATTAGTCATTAAAAAGATTATAGAGACTGGGAAAGGCCACTACAATCAGCTTGCGTCACAAAATTCCTCTATTGTTACACTATAAAATGCACCAGTCTAGAAGCTGGTAACCCAATCAAATTAACCGTGTCAATTAATTATACAGTCATTAACAATATGAGATTATGCAAAACCCTGCTTACTCTTATCGATAAATTTAATACCTGAAGGTGCCAAGGGAGGGAGGAGGGAGCAGCCAGTGTAAACAAGGCCATATTAAATGTTGTGGTAAACTAAGGCTGACAAACGCCTCCCACAGCGACGATACAAATTTACTCCCAGCTAGTCCAAGAGGACAGTGCAACTCAAAATAGTTGCCATTTACTGCCGAGACTACGCAACTTGAAGAACAAAGGGAAGTGCCAGTCCGGTTAGTCTCAGATTAAATTGGCCAATTATTTTCTGAGTCTATGGATAATCGTTACAATGCCTGATACCACCACCCACAAGGGTAAGCCTCATTATTACAGCAGTCTTAAGATCATGTGTAACACCTGTACATATATGTAGTCATCAGATATTACGGTGTATGGCATGTTGAGGCGAGTGTGATGACATGAGATAAGTTAAGGTGACCACACCAGCACCACCCAGACCCCCATTAATCACTACAGTGCACGTGACCAAGGGTATCTGATGTGTGAACAGCTCTGGTCATTTAACTATTCTTTATATAGTTGTGTGATCTATAACTCAGTAGTAATTATATCTACCAATTAATTACCGTAAGATTAAAATGACCCTCCTCCCCCCCCCCCCAAAAAAAAAATAGTGAAGGGAAGTTTATTGGTGACAATAAATTATAAAATAGTCCGCTTAGAAGTAATAAATACAATTTCTTAAAATAACAATCAAACCAATCACCAGTAGGTTTCCCCCCACACTGCTTAAGCTTTAGGTAAAGATGTTACAGAACACATTTGATGTTGAGAGAATACTCGGGGCGTGGAGTACACAGAACAGCAGAGGTGGTGTGGCCAAGAGTTTCGGTAACGGCATTTTTTTTTTTATTAAAGAGGAAGGAGAGGCATAGAAGAAGGGAAGTATAGAAGTGGGAAATACAGTGAGAGGTATGAAAGCAGGCGGCGGGCTGTCCGCCTTGCTGACACGATGTGTGGGTGTTGGCAGCTAAGCTAAGCTGGCTCTCTCTTGTCAGGGAGCTGTGAGTGTGAGAGAGGTTCTTCACATGTGTTTCACCATATGTGGATGTCCATAGATGAATACTGTGTAGCATTCATATATACACACTCCGATGCTTCCACACATGTTATTCTGTTTAAGGCTCTTTATTTTATTATTATTTATCGAGTTGTTCATACATATTATTTATCGAGTTGTTCATACATACACATATATGAACTGTTCATATATATACATATATAACTCTGGGGATTATATACTGTGGGGCGGGGTTTTCGTCCAGAGAATCGAGGCTCTTGGGCCCTGCTAGTCCCTGGCGCTGCCGGGCCCCTGGCGCCGCTAGTCCGAAGCTTTGGAGTTTCTGACGAGGAAGCACAGTAAGGAAATCGCGGAACGGCTGATATAACTTTAATTAGAATCTGGAGTGTGCCTGCACTAGCCTGGCAACCGATCCACTCATTCAGTTTTTCTTTATTATGCACCCCATACCCATCCCGTGGACGGTGGTGGAAAGGGTTTCAGAGGTGCATAATGGGTTCAGGAACTGAGCCCCATAGTTCGTTTAGCTAAGCAAGTGACAATCTTTTGACGCTAGTTACACAATTATTAATGTTATATATATATATATATATATATATATATATATATATATATATATATATATATATATATATATATATATATATATTGTGACGGTAAAGCGTTGGTGTTCGGCTGTTTCAAAAGCTAGGGGCAGGGCCTCGTCACATAATAGAAAAAAAAGAGAAAAGCTGGAGCTTTCGTCTGTGGTAAGGTAATGGGAAGACACACAAAACACAAGTAAATTTAACAATGAAATTTTAATTACTCTAGAAAAACAAGACATGAATAAAGTTAAGCACATAAAATATAAAAGACAAGTCAACAAACAAAATAATATGAATAATCACTGGGAAATGAAAAGTTACGTTAAGACAAGTGAGTTACAGTGATAGTAAAATAAAGTATGAATGCTGGAACATTGGCTTCGAGCTGCCACCTCCCTTAGTACACGAAAGCCAAGGCTTAGTCTACCAGTGAGAGATGTCAACTGCTTGGAGCACTGAGATATTCTGACGATATTAGCGCACTGCAGCCCAGACATCGACTTGTGGTGGAGGGCGGAGGGCAGGTGCGACGGGACACCAGCCAATCAGCGACAGGCAGGCAAAGGATGAGCAGTTTGCTGGTTACAGTGGCTGAAGCAGGTGTGCCGGTGTGCTGGATACGTTTTGCTCTCTGGGCAAAACGTTTGGCGATACTTGCTGGACGTATCTTCTATATTATCTTGTATATTGACGTACTTGTGAAGGGAAGAGCAGGCTCAATCTCTCTTGAAAGAGATTATCGTCACAATATATATATATATATATATATATATATATATATATATAATATATATATATATATATATATATATATATATAAAATATTCTAAAACCTGCCATCCTAAAAACCCCGGGTGTAGAGTGGGTGGCTGGTAGACTCCGGGCTGAGTTTGGCCGAGGTGGTGGTGGTGTGGCCGGGGTGGTGGTGGTGGGGTGGCCGAGGTGGTGGTGGTGGTGGGGTGGCCGGGGTGGTGGTGGTGGGTGGCAGAAGGGTTACGTGGTGTGGGTGGCCGACGAGGTGGTGGTGGTGGTGGGGTGGCCGGGGTGGTGGTGGGGTGGCAGAAGGGTTACGTGGTTTGGTGGGGCGGGGGGGGGGGGGGGAGAGAGGCACCTCTCGACTTGTGGTTGGGTGACGGTACACACTTGGTGGGGGAGGGAGGGGGGCTAACACTAATACATTTGTATAATT